AGCCAATCATAGATGCCGCAAAGCTGGCCCCTGGCCCGAAAACGAATAACACGCCTGCACGCGTAGACCGACCCAGTCAATGACCGCTGGCCACTGATATGCCTGCTGCTAAACCCGCACTTAGGACCCGGCTACTCTTATAGCTGGTCGTGGGCTCCGAAGTCAAACTTCTGCCTGCTTATTTTCTATTCCTCTGTATACAGAATAAAATATTCATACTACTCTGGCCTCCACCACTGACTTCTTCTCTCCTAAGGAACCATGGTCTGAAGATCACAGTTGCTACGGTTTAAGCCACATAACCCTTTGCGATAAGGGCACAGGCGGCTGGCGCCCCCATCCGAGCGTGTCATCAACACGCCCCCCCTCCCCCACCCTGTGCTGCATTTTTATGGGTGCGCGGTCCCAACAATGGCTGCTGTATCCCAATCGAACCTCCGTGCTAGTCCAGCGCCTTTGACGTGTGGCCTGTTCTAGGGTGGCAGCCACCGTGACAAATGTCGTCAGTGACCAATCTCATTAAGTAATAACCGAAATTATGAAGTGTGTTTTCGATTAGGAGGGATTTCGTAAGTGGAGTTGTAATACTGATTATTGTGCAGGAGAATACCAAGGTATTTCAGACACGGCAGGATGCCAGCTAATTAAAACACGTCTTTCGACTGCCAGAAATAAAATCGCACTCGTTAAAATATGGTTGCTTTAACGGTAGGAATTTGTTATATTTGTCTTCGATGCCCTTCTGGACATCTTCGCTTGCGATGGGCGAACTAACACATAAATTCAGCTATATTTTATAGAAAACGTTATCAAAACTCCACTTTTTCGCATTATTCGACAGAAAATCACGTTTTCTCCACATTTTACACCCGAAGAAGGGTATATTAAGGTTTCAAAAGGTTTTTTAAATCCTAAAGAAATGTGAGTTCTATCAAGCGTTGTACTCGCGTTTAGGGTTTACAGTCTACAAGCTGCATACCTTTTGTGTAAAAAGCATTGCTCTGTGCCATTGTGAAAATACCATACAGGGTTCATGAAGATTTGCAATAGAAGTGGATAATGTTGTATACTTCCTACGGAGTATGAACAAATGAACAGATACGGAGCTACTTGAATGGTCATTGCACAGCCTTAAAAGGTCCCACAATTAGAAACATTTTAAAACCAAAATATATCCCCCC